AATGTCAAATTGAATATTGTTAAAAGTTAAATAAGTTGTTATCTCATATATTAAAAATAAAATACAAATAATTTTTTTTATAAAATTTAAAAATAAAAAAAATAAACATTTATAATAATTGATGTATGAATTAAATACGAAAAAGAAATGTAATATGTATGAATTAGTAATTGATATATATAAATAAATATATATATATAATGGTAAATGAAATTGAAACTTCAATGGAATAAGTTCTCGCTCCGTATCCAGTCTTTGTAATTATGTGTTGATACCCGAGTTGGGCTGGCCTAGGATTCCCGGCTCTTCGGACAAGGGATCGGGAGGAGCTGATCTCGCAACTCGAACCGGTCAGCGAGTAAACAAGAGATGCAGAGCTGACCAACTAGAAAATTCAATCAGGACGACAACTAACGTAACCTCCGAGACCGGCATCCTGACTGAATGCCGGCACCCTGGCCAACTGATTGTACTGTCGACCTCCTTCGACATGAATGTTCCCTGCGGCTCCCACGCGAGCCGGAGTTTGAAACTAATATAATATTGTCACTTGGCAGCTGATGATTGTCGATGGGACTAGCCACCCTAGTCTATCACCCTACGATATCTAACCCGACAAAAAGGCCTGTCAGCATTTAATGTTCCCCATGTGTGCATTAAATGTCTGACAGATAATGATTGAAAAAACCTCAAATCGCATTTAGTAACTGTCAGAGTGGCGCCGACCAGTTCCTCAGAGATACTGTGCGACGGGACAAGATGAATCGTGTCGAATTTAATAATACTATAAATAGAATACACATTTCGTTTATTAGGGTTGTTGAATTTGCCAACTACAACGTTGTCTCTCTAGAATATGTAATAGATTCTTGTAATTATTCCCAAGTATAATAAAAGTGTCGACCTCACGATCAGAGGTCAACACCATAATTAAGTATCAAAACCCAATTTTATCTTTTATCTTTCTCGTTCTTTCTTTTTAATCATTATAAAACTTTATATCGCTGATCGAATCCGTCCATCAACATTATGTAATGGAGCAATTTGATGACGCCTCAAGTGCACATATATTAGTTTAATAGTTGAATCGTCATAGTTTCTAAACTAAGAGAAAGAAAAAAATAATCTCCATCGCCACACGTATGAAAAAATTTTCCAACATTTTATAAATAGCGTTAAAAACGTAAGAATGAATCGATTTTATATGAATAAAAGTAGTTATTCCCATTGTACACACATCTTACATCAAATGTCCACACTTTCACTTTGACACAAAACAATTTTCACCATTGAATAAATATTATCAATGTTGGCTAAAAGTCTAGCTCTTTACCACGGGCCCTCGAGACGAATGTAGTCGTACATAAGGCCTTGAAATGGGCCCTTAGCATTTGACTGTGTCAAATAAATTGTGTTGTACTCCTCATCAACAAGTGAAGTACCCGAAACTCCCACATCGAACAGCCAATACAATCCGTGAATACCATGCCTCGCGATAGCATTGTCTTTTCCAATCAATCCACTAGTAAATAATGGAGGGTTTTCATCCGGATTATTGATTCGAACCTACAAATATTTAAACATACAAAATACTTGTAGTTAAAATTAAATAGGAGAGTTAATTGCAAGAATAAGCCAAAAAAAAAAAAAAAATTACTGAAATTTTCATATTATTGCCTACTCGAAACGTAGATTTTTTTTTTTTTTTTTGTGTATTGATTATTCTTTGAGAATTTAACATGAATACTTGTATTAAAAATATATTTGAAAAAAATATAACTGTGTAATTGTATTAAATAATTAATACTGAAGTATATATATATAAATATGTACGTAATGTTTTGACAATTTAACATTAATTTTTGTATTAAATAATTAATTAATACAAGTTTAGTAGAAGATATGATAATTTGACCTTAAACAATAAAAATAAATAAATAAACCCTAATGTCTTGAAATTTTGAATTGGTGCAATTTATTTTTCTACGCGTTTCCATTTATCTTTTGTGCACGTTACCAAAGTAGAATATTAATTTGCATGGTGGATTTTCATCTAGTTGTATTTGTCAAACATGTAGTTTCAAATCAAACTATCCGTTAATTTTGGTTATTTTAGCTGACAAATAAGCTAGCTTATAGGTTATTTTGTTCGTTTATAAGCTCCTCGTATTCAAATAAGTCTTGTTTGGTAGGACGAGTTTATTTGATAAGCTTCTTTAGGTAATTTTTCAAGTAAGCTAGTTGAATTTTTTGTTTCAACTAGCTTCTTATCTAATTTTACTAAATATTTTTTATCATATAAACTAGCTTTTCAACTATATATAAGTCACAGCTATATGCTAGTTTATCAACTAGTTTTACCAAGCATAGTCTTAGAGAACTTCTTAGACAATTAGTAAACAAATTAGTTAATTTTTAATTACGATAGTAAATAAATGACTATACGGTCTGATTTTCAATTTTAAATTAATTAAGGCTTAATGGCAAATAAAACCATGACCTTTAAGCTTTTTGCAATTTAATCTCAACTTTAAGGTAATTGCAAATAAATCGCAACCTTTTTTAATTTTGGCAACCCGAAACCCAAAGTTGATCGGCAGCGAGCTCCGTGCCTACGCGTCCGGATAGACAACCTCACGTGTCCTCAGACGTCGCTGACGAGGATGCCACGCAATCACACACACACACAACAAAGGGTAAAATTGTAAAAGTAACACTTAGATGTATATAAATTGATTTGTTCATTAATATTCACTCTGAATCTGTAAAATTATGGCTAGGAGAGTTCCCTGCGGTTTTCCTCACCACAATTCGATTAGGTGTTTGTATTCTTCATTTTCTACATGTGATTCGGTAATTAACGCAAGAAAAATTGGTCTGTAGAAGGAATTGGCGCCAGTTGTTTGTGATTTTCGTGCATCGGCAATGGGAAAAAACAGGTAGATTGGGAAGCTTCGAACATGTGATTTTCAGGATGTCTACCTCCTCACCGTGATGGCATTCCTTTTGGTTGTGAAGCTTCGAACCGCCACCGCTCCGAGAACTTTGGCTTGTGTGGGAAGAGAACGACATTTTCAGAGGTGTGGGGGATGAGCAACTCAATTAGGTTTGTAATTGGGAACGAGAAGCTCGGAAATTGGGAGATGAGGTCGGAAATTGGGCGAGGACATCGGGAATTGGGCGATGAAATCGTGAATTGGGCGATTAGGGTTGAATTTGGGGAAGACATGAAGCAGACTCCTGAAATGCTTTTTTATTTTTGTGTGTGTGTGTGTGTGTGTGACAGTGTTGCATCCTCGTCGGCGACGTTTGAGAACACGTGAGATTGTCTGCCCGAACACGTAGGCACAGAGCTCGTTGCCGATCAACATTGGTTCGGGTTGCCAAAATTAAAACAAAGTTGCGATTTATTTGCAATTACCTTAAAGATGAGATTAAATTGCAAAAATCTTAAAGGTCGTGGTTTTATTTGCAATTAGGCCTTTTAATGCATGATCACATGTATTTACCTCTAATACAGCTTGATTTGCAGAAGCAAGTGCAATTCTCAATGTGTATATTGCACTCGGGTCAACCATATCCACTTTGAACTTAATTTGCCACGTACTTGCTTCATACGTATTATCTTCTTTTCTTCTGAATATCAATAA